CTACAGAAGGATACTGAGAATACCATGAACTGATCATGTGAACAAAGACAAAATTTTGGAGAAAATCAAAACAAAAGGCAGACATATATTTAGCATCAAAAAGAAATAGTTGAAATTTCTAGGGCACATAATGAGGAAAGAGGGCTTGGAAAATTTGATAGTCACATGATAGATTGAATGCAAGAGAGATAGAGGAAAATAACACATCATATACCTAACAAACTGATAGAGAGATAACGAAAAGACAAAATTTAAGAGCTTGAAACAACAGGAAATTGTGGAGAGCCTTGATCACCAACATCCTGAAGGGAATAGAAGAATAATGGAAATAAAAAGCCTTAATGCAATAGACAGTAACGTCTCAATATAAAATGATTAAATTAAAATAAAGGATATACATTATTTTTTGCTTATCTGTCAGTGGTATTAAGTGGTTCTTTATATTTTCTGGCATTTACCCAAAATCTATCATGACAGCCTGGGTTCTCATTAATAACATTTATTTTAGGTGAAATTTGAAAAGATATTGCTTATTTATTTATTTTTTGTTTTTCATTTAGCTCACCCAAAACAAGGCAGTAAAGCCACTGAGATACAAGGGGTTACTGGGTGTGAAAGATTTAGAAATAGGAACAATTGCTAAAGAGCGAGAACAGAGGAAGAGTAATCAGGAGGACAGAAGATAGTGATTGACATTGCATTTAAATTTTTGCAGATTAAAGCTAACTGGAAGACATCGAGCTGGAAGGGAGTTCTAAAAATAAGAAGTACAAGGAAAGAAACTGTCAGCACAGAATTTATTGTTATATCTAGCTTGCTCACCTGTAAATTGATGAAACCTCATCGCCAGTCTAGTACTGTGCTTAAATTTGAAGAGTCTAGGCTCCAGAGTGAAGAGCTCATCCCCAAAATTACCATGAAAGTATTTATAGAAAAAAGCAAAGGGAGGTAACCTCATGGTGGTGGGAAAATGACTGATGCTGTCAGATCAGGGACAATTATACAAAAGAAAAATTAAATGTAACATAATATTCATGACTAATAAATTAAGTGCTGCCCAGGCCCAATCTGTATTCTGCTATTATCATCTGGTATTGCAAGTGTACTACAAGTCAAAGGCCTTTCTCAGTTCCTCCTAGGACAGCCATGACTGTGCCATGTTTTACCAGCAAACACTTTTATATCATTTCTCCATCTTCTGTCTGATCTTTTTCTTTTTGATTAAATATTTGTTGGGCAAGAAAAAAAAATCAACCTTTTGATCCATCTATTATCCTTTCTTCTTGCTACATGTCCCATTCACCTCTAGTTTTGTCACCTGATCATTTTTATCTTCATATGTCTACTGATCCATGTCATACATTTAAGGGCCATTCAATATGAAATCCATTATATTATTGGTTTATTGAACTTAACAAAACAGATTTCATTAGTAATGAGGAAAAGAGTGCCATAATGCTACACAATATGAGTCCTTCTATATGACAGTAAATGCTGGACAATTTACTCAAAGATAAAGGTGATTTTAAGGCAACAGGGATGTGGTTTTGCATAAGGATTCTGAGAATATCATGGATAGAGCATGAACAAAAAGAATAGCCCAATATATGAACTATAAATGTGAGACATCAGAATCAATCAAGTACAAAAATTTGACTATCAGATTATTGAAAATGCAACACAGAAATCCAAAGGTGCATTGAAGTAGTGAAAGATACTTTCCAGAATCTCAGCAAAGTATTAAAAAACGGGGAAATTTTCTTAGAAACAAAGAAAAGAATGCTGAATTTTTATGTAAGATCAATCCTCCTATATAGCATTGAATGATGAAGAGTTTCTTAGGAGTGGGTACTTCAAGTAACAGAGATGCTGAGAATACCATGGATTGAACATGTGAGCCATGAGGAAGTTTTAAATTAAATAGAAACAAAAAGGAGACTTGTGCTTAATATAAAAATGCAATAGTTAAAATTTTTGGGATGTTTAATGAGGGAAGTGGGCTTGGAGAATTTAACACTCTCAGGGCAGAGGAAACCATCAGTAACCTACCTAACAAAAATGTGTTAAGTGGATGGCAGAAAAGGAACTGGAAAGGATAGTAAGGAAATGAACATTGCTTAGAGCTCCAAAGAATGGGAAGTTGTGAAGAGCCATGATCAACCTACCTAATGAGTTTGTTTAATTGGATGGTAGAACAGGGACTGGGAAGGGGATGAACATACATTGCTTAGAACTACAAAGGATAGGAAGATGTGGAGAGCCATGATTGTCCATATCCTGAAGGAACATGATACTTAAAAGAAGAAGAGCAAAGATGAGCAATTATATTTAGTTTCATATCTGTTAAAATGATAATCCCAAAAGAAAGCCTGAGGTCAGTCATGATATATCTTATTCAATCTTGTAATGGAAATGGGTTAGCAATTGTAACAACATCCAGTAGAATGTAACCATATGTTCTATGCTAACAGTTCATTTTCTCACACTTCTCACTTGTGGAATTCTTTTCTGGCTTCTTGCTTTTCAATCTTAATTCTTCTACCTTTTTAATTCCTGTTCTTTTATTGTTCTCTCTCCTTAATAATAATTTATTTTTCTCATATTCTCTAACACTCAGTAACCCCTTACATCTCAGTGGCTTTATTGCCTTGAGGTGAAATGATTAAAAAAAAGGATTTAAACACAGATGTGAATTCAACATATGCTTAATTTTATATATGAGGGCAAAGTGAAAAATTATCTGCACTTTTATATATAGATATATTATAGTAAAAGTGCAGGTAATTTTTGACTTACCCATGTTTATTTATATACAGAACATAGCACAGAAAAAGAGAGAAATATGCACCAAAATTTACATGCACATGCTCCAAGTTAGCGGGAAGGCCAAGACTGACTTTGCATTTCCCAACTCCCATCGATAGTGGAAATAATTGATTTTTTCATGCTTCTACAGCAGTTTTCATGTAGTTTGCAGCCATTTTCTAATGGCCAGAGTGAGAGCCTATAGTTGGCTGCCACAAATAGGCAGGAAGATTCTATTGTCCAGCGTGAGAGCTAACAGCTGACTGACACAAATGTTAACTAGCATGCTAACATGCAAAAAAAATCAATAGCTGCATTCATCACAAGTGGGAAAAATTTAAATCTGCATGGCACTTTATTCCAATTGGCTCATTCGCTTGCTTAAACTCAATGTTGATTCTGATTCTGCAGAACTGGGTTGGATGTGAAAAAGTATTTGTTGTTAACATTCTTTTTTCATTCAGTTTTTCCAGTTACGAGTCCTTTTTTTAAAGCTGATCGTTTTGGGTTCATTTTGTTTAGTTTTTTTTTCGTAAGAGATTTAATGTTTAGTATAGAGCTTAGAAAAAATTAGCAGTGTGAGATAGACAAGAAGTAAGGCATGTAGCAACATCAGCATGGCAAAGGGCACTCCTTTAAAGGCAAGGAAGGGCAAAAATATTTTAAGTTAAATGATAGTGATTGTTGTATGAGCAGTACAATTTTTGAATCAAGCACAGGCAATGCCAGGCCATGCTGCTAGTATTTATATGATTATTTGTCATGGAGATGTTATTCTGGTAACATGGATATAGCATAGTATGATAACAGAAGATATAGTGTCTTTATAGTGCATATATTTCATCATGCTCTATCATTATAAGAGTCAGATCAGTCCAAGAATGGAGTATTGCTGCCATATCTGGGCTCGTTCTGCCCAATCCTCACTGTCCAGCCTCAACAGAGTTCAAAGGTCATTATGCAGCCTTGTGGGTGATGAACTCTTCTCAACTCTTAAACCCTAATCCCACAGATGAAACACTGCCAGCCTTTCCATACTAGATCACTATTACTATAGTAGATGTTCAGACAAGTTATATTCCCTGTTGCCACCAGCTTGGATCCGCCATGCCATGTTCGCAGTGACAAACCATCTCCAGTTCCTTCATGTTCCTTTTGATAAAAATCAAGTTCCACTCAGACAACTTCTTCCCCAGAACTGTTATTTTGTAGAACAGACTCCCAAGAGAATGCTTCCCAAACAACTACAATCTTGGTCTCTAATTTCAAGATCAACCGCTATCTATCCTATTTGTCCTCATAATACTCTGTTACTTTCCCCTTTCTTCACAATCTCACAGTAACTCTCTACCTTGAGTGGCCCTTGTGTCTTGAATTATGTGAACTATCAGTAAAAAAAAAAAAAAATGCAGTATGCCTGGGGATTAACTTTCTCAGAAGAGAAACAAGACACATTTTATCACAAAGACATCTGATGGTTGAAGAGGAAAAAAAAACAGAGAGTTTATACCCTTTCTTTTTATACTACTTCATACAATAACACCTAGTGGGCATTAAGTGAAATTACCTCAGAGACAAAGTGGGATAATCTCACAAATGTCCTCATGATTCTTATGTTGTTTTGACCAGTGCATTCTTTAACCTTTTAGTTATCAATGGTTAATACAGTTAGTAACAAACTTGTAATCAATTTGACTAAAGAAAAAAGTCCTTAACATGGTTAGGCAAATCAGCATATATGCTCCTTTTTCCAATCATATGTGTCAAGCAATTTAACAAAGACAGGAAGCTGTGGAGAGCCATGATTACTCTCATCCTTAAGAAACATGGTAAGAGAGAAAAGATGTACACAACATTAATGATATTTCTTAGATATGGTAGTAGTTTTTATTTTGCTCTATTCAGTATTTAGTATTAGATTGATTCCTTTTCTACAGATTATCAACCCTTTACAGGTTATTTAAAGCCAGAAAAATTTCTTTTTTTAGAGTGTAAGGATTTTTTGTTTTTTTGGAGATTGATTTAGTAAAACAAGTCTTACTAATTAACCCATAGCTGGGAGAAGAAGAGGTGGATTCATACCGTTCCCAAGAGTATTTGCATGTAAGTGAATATAAGACCCAACGGGAATTGGAACTCTGTTCTCTGATTAACAATTCCAAGCCATTATTCAATACACCACCTGTACATCTAAGCTTACAGCTCTTGGTTTTCCCAAATGGTCACCCATCTAGGTACTGACCATGCTCAATGTTGCTTAACTTTGGTAATCATACAGGAACCTGTGTTTAAATTGATGTGAAAGTATTTACATTAGCTTGATTGATTTTGATGTGGTAAAACCTTTCTACAGTAGAATGAACTCTTCCACCTCTCATAAATACTGTGTGAGTCGGTTTGGGAGCGTAGATGCAGTGTTAAGCTACCATTTGGATGTACACCTCTATCTGCTTATTACTAATACTCTTGCTTCGTATATATATATATGTTATTTTAATACACTTGTTCAACTTACCTTCATCTTCTGTGTCTTTCTTTCTGGCTCCTAAACAGGCCACAACAGATTTTATGTTAGATAATTGAAGACAAAGTGGAAAAATTCTACTTAACGCATTACAACCTCTAAAAGGACTTCATCAGACTAAAGTAATGTTCTTATTGATCAAATTATCATCCAGGGTGACCCATAAGTTGAGGTGCAATTGGAAAAGAATGAACACTTGTAAAATGGAAATTGACGGAAACTTGTGGGACGTCATTTGCCATAATTAAATTGATCAGATGTCTAACTGAAATATTGTTAAATGCAAAAACAAGTAAATTTGGTAAATAAATATAAGAATGACAGTTTTTCCATAGAGGTACAACCTTTGTGCTGCCCTTTGGAGGGGAGGTGGAGATAGAATTGTAAACATTGAATTATAATGATGCACTGAGGAGAAAAGCTTAAAATGTAAGTCCTCAAATGTAATTTTACTCAAAGTTGTTTTCTGTTGCCATAGCTGGATATGACAGCACAACTATGAAATTCAAACACACTATTGTTCAGGGATCAGAGTCACCTTCAGTGGCAGGATAAACATTTTGTATAGCAAATGAATTCACAAAGTGATAAAGATTAAATTTATTCAGCTGCCACTTAAATTCCACATATCTGGATGATAAAAATCTTACTGTAGAATAGTAAAATATCTGACTGTTTGAATAGTTGTGTTGAAAACCAGCTAAAATTGAGAGAAAAAAAAGTCGTTTTCTATGCTCTGTGTCCCTTAGTAAATGTTGCTATCCAAGCTTGGATAACAACCAATCTAAGATAAGAAAAACTGTATTCCAAACCATGGAGGAGGAAGACAATGGGGAAACCATTCCACTATCTTTCCCTCAAATACACATGACAATTGAGAGATAAATAAATCCACCTATGTCCTTTCAACACATGGATGGATTATGGCTCTCTACAGGTTCCTTTTCTTGATAGCTAACCTTTAGCCTTTTGCATTATTAATATTACTTTGATTTCCACTGCATTCTTTTTCATGACCTCTCAATTGCAGTATCCTTATTGTTAATTTCACTCAAAGTTATTTTCTGTTATCATAGCTGGATATGGCAACACAACTATGAAATCCAAACACACTATTATTCAGGAATAAGAGTCACCTTCAGTGGCAGGATAAACTTTTTGTGTAGCAAATGAAGTCACATGCAGCATGATAAAGGTTAACCACAGCAGCTTTGTTATAAACAATGTTCTGGTTAATTTGAAATAGTCTAACACTTAATACAAAGTTTAAAAATATATCTGAACAAACTTGCACAAAGAAAATATGTTAAAACTAGCAGCATGGCCCGGCGTTGCCCATGCTTGATTCAAAAATCGTACGACTCATACAGCAATCACTATCACTTAACTTAAAATATTTTTGCTCTTCCTTGCCTTTAAAGGAGTGCCCTTTGCCATGCTGATGTTGCTACATGCCTTACTTCTTGTCTATCTCACACTGCTAATTTTTTCTAAGCTCTATACTAAACATTAAACCTGTTAGGAAAAAAGAACTAAACAAAATGAACCCAAAGCTATCAGCTTTAAAAAAGGACTCGTAACTGGAAAAACCGAATGAAAAAAGTATGTTAACAACAAATACTTTTTCATACCCAACCCAGTTCTGCAGAATCAGAATCAACGTTGAGTTTAAGCAAGTGAATGAGCCAATTGGAGTAAAGTGCCATGCAGATTTAAATTTTTCCCACTTGTGATGAATGCAGCTATCGATTTTTTTTTTTTTTGCATGCTAGCATGCTAATTAACATTTGTGTCAGTCAGCTGTTAGCTCTCACGCTGGCCAATAGAATCTTCCTGCCTATTTGTGGCAGCCAACTATAGGCTCTCACTCTGGCCATTAGAAAATGGCTGCAAACTACATGAAAACTGCTGTAGAAGCATGAAAAAATCAATTATTTCCACTATCGATGGGAGTTGGGAAATGCAAAGTCAGTCTTGGCCTTTTCACTAACTTGGAGCATGTACATGTAAATTTTGGTGCAAATCCATAGAAAATTGCAGCCATGCATTCATTACACACACACACATCCTGCCTTTTATAGATAGAGATATGTGAATATGAGGATTAAACATAAAAGAAAATATAAAAATAAAAATGAATGAAAATTTTCTGAAGAAAATGGAGTACAATTTTAAGTAAAAATATAATTTATGACTATATATTACTGAGGTGTTAAAGAAAGTATATTTATTTTAAAATGCTTAAGTTTAATCAGTATCTATTTTAGATGCTTTGTCAGTTATTTTGTCTTTACTCACTTATCAAAAGATGGAATTAGACAAGGTTTGCATCTCCTTATGAAAAACTTTCCATTTTGCAACCATTACCACTTCCTAACAACCACTCTAAAGAATTTATGAGGGAAAAAAATCTTCTTTCTCCCTGAGACATTTATAGCAAATGTAATAAATCTACTGAAGGTTGTTCGGCTCCACTTTAAACTACAAAGCATATGCACACATTAATTGTAAATATTACATTATTTACAGTAATAGAAAGACTTGTGGGTCAGGAGGTATTTCCCTCAGATGCTAGTGGGGTTTATACTGTTTGCACTGTAAAGTCGAAGTGGGAGTAACAGTTTTCAATTTGGTTGATATTCCTTGGGAATATGAGTCAGAAAAAGGTGTCAAACCAGAAATAATTGTATTTTGCAAGAAGAAAGACAAAATATATTAAGATGGAGAGATAAAGTCAGTTGTTAAGTAAACAAAGGCTTTTATTATTCTAGATAAAGAGGAAGACAAGAAAAACAAATGATTCTAAATCAGGAGGTGTAACCTTAAAATACAAATGTCACATAAAACCAAAATAACTCCAGTAGAAAAAAAATGGAAAAGCATGAAAATATACAAAAAAAAAAATGAAGAATTCAAGCTTATTTTATATATATATATATATATATATATATATATATATATATTAACTGATTTAAAATATGGGTTCTTCGCTCCACAGGAGTTACCATGTTTCAAAAACCAAAGTTAAAAACTTCAAATTTAATTCCTGTGTAGTGAAGAAACCATATTTTAAATCAATTTATAATATTTATGCTCTGTAAATTTACATTGAGCACTGTTTTGTAAAAATAGAAATATCAGTAGGAACACCAGATTATATATCTTACTGTTCTTTCTTTTTATTATAATATATATATATATATATATATATATATATATATATATATATATATATATATATTCAAACATATGTTGTTAAATATAACAGACAATGAATGTCTGTTATACTTGATTATGAGCCGTTCTAAACTTTGTATGGTTGCTTTAATTTTGGGTGAAAATAAAGACAAAAATTGTTCAACATTTGGACATTTTTTATTATAGTGTTCCGCCATCTAATCTTTCAGCTCACATGAGCCATCTTCAGAGTGGTTATATGAACATTTAAATGAAGATATTCACCATCAAAAACGATATTCTGTTATGTTGACATAGAAGATTTGCTATGACACGATAACTGTCACAGAATAGACTCAGGTTGTAAATTCATGATGTGGTTCTATGACGTCGTACCATGTGAGAGACTGAAATATTAAAAACAGAACCATATGTTTAAATGTAATGTGTTGTGGCTAGTTTGAAATATAATTTTGTTGAGTGTGGGTTGCTTTAATTTTTATGTAGATGGCCTCTAATACCTGAAGGTTCTTTTTAATGTGTGGGTATTATTATGTTATCTGTCTAATATTATGTACATGGCCATGTTTTTCTAAGAAATGTTGTTTAATAGAACTATGATTAGAAAGGTGACAGGTAAGTCTATGGGAGAGTGTGGTTGTAGTAAAACCAATATATGTAGTGGGTTTATTATTAGTATCAGAGATATATCATCTCTGAATGGGCATGTAAATTGATACACTATATTGGTTTTTTGTAGAGGATTTACTTGTGTGGTTGTAGGTTTATTAGAGACTATCAGGTCAATTGTTTTAAATTTTTATAATATATGATGAACTTAAATTGTTTATTATTATTAATGAGTTTAACATTTCTACCTATTATGTTTTTGAGTGTTGTTTCATCATGTTCATAATTATTATGCATTTGGTTAGAATAGTATAATTTAATAGTATTATGTTTATTTTGACATACACTATTATTAATATTATCAATTTTGTTAGAGGCATTATTAAGTTTATTGAAATACATTTTAATTTGTTGATCAGTGATGGGATTAGGGAATCCATTATTAACAAATGTTTGTTTAATGTAATTCTTTATAGAATATGGTTTTAGAAGAAGATATCATTTGTGTGCATTGGATTAAGTTTTTATGACAGCTAACTTATATCATTGGGGGCATTCACTATTATAATTAAGAAGACACAAGTTAATGCTTGTGTGTTTCCTATATCGAGAAGTAGTAAATTTATGTGTGCTGGAATAAAAAAATACATCAAGGAATAATATTAAGATTGTTCTAGTGTAAATTTGAGGATAGAGTGACTTTCAAATTTGTTTTTAAGTTGTGTAATTTGATCAATATTTTTAGCTAAAATGAAAATGTCATCTACGTATCTTACATATATAGGGAGTTTATTAGTGCCATTAAGTATTTTATTTTCTAAATGTACCATATAATAATTAGAAAAAAGGGAGTCTAAAGTAGATCCCATCGCAATACCATCTATTTGAATATAAACGTTACCTAGGGGGTCATGAAAAAGTGTTTAAGTAGTACATACTAATAATAATTTTTTTAAAATAG